GGTTTGTTGGAATTTTTTTTTTTTTGTTATAATGGAAACAAATGTCATAACTAATGGTAAAAAAAATTTCACTTTAATGAACAATTTCCATGTAAAACAAAGTCAAACGAACACTAAACTTTGATAAAAAAAAATGATTTTTTTAGGAAACAATTTTTTCCCTTTTTTTTTTTACTTTTTGGCAATGGAAACAAATTTTATTACCAATTGTGGAAAAAAAAAATCACTTTAATGGACAATTTTCATTTAAAATAAAGCCAAACGAATAGAAAATTTAAAAAAATTTCGGGTGAAAAATTATACCTATCAAACACACTTGAAATCATTTTCCCTACAAAATATTTTTTAGGCAAATATTTTCCTTGTAAAATATTTTCTTTCAACTCATTTTCCACCATTGCAATCAAAGGCACCCTTAAATTTCAACTGTCACTGCGAAGAAGGAAAGATGAGATTTGGAAAACTGTGCCATTTTTACCAAATTTATTGTCAAGTCGGGAAATGATTTCTAAATTTCAAAAATAACAATTTAATTCTCAATTTTGGTCATGATTGCACAATTAATTCTTAACTACTAAAATTCTCCTAATCTTATCTAAATTAAAAATGTAAAACTGGTCTCCTTGGTGGGCGTGAACCCAAACTTTTTGTACTGTGTGGTCAAAAATTAAAATGTATTTTTTGAAAGAAAAATGTCATAACATTAATGAAAACAAGTCAATATATTACTACAATTGTTGACTATGCATTTTCAAACTTTGCGAGAAGTCAAAGAAGGAAGTAAGTATTTTGTGGAAAACTGAAATTGAAATTTGGGAGGTATAGAATTGGGTTGTGACCCTAATTCTTGTTGAAGTATTTGATTGTAAATATTGTTAGAGTAATGAGAGTTGATAGATATATTGAAGAAACTCAAGGTGAATTTGACTCATATTTCCTCACAAATTCTTTATTATTGGTTTTGTCCATTGTATTGGGACTTCACCTTATATTGAACTATTCATTTATTAATTTTCCTAATATGTTAGAGATTTTTTTTATTATAAATATATAGTTTTCAACACATATTGAAATTGATCAATTATTCAATTAGTTATTGGTCCAAAAAGATCATTTGCAACTCCTCACTATAGATTATAGAGAATTCTCCGCCTCTTTTCGTGATTTACCATATTTGAGTTTTCACGTAAATCTTGTTTTCTTTGTGATCTATTATTTTCATATTATTCTTATCTTTATTATTTGGCATGATTCTCAACAAAGTGGTATCAGAACGATTCTGATATCTTGTTTGTTTCTACTAGCAAGCAATATGTAATGCCCCGAAAAATTTCATAGAATTATATTTTTATATTTTGGAAGGATGGGGGATTAAAATGCTACATTTATTAAATTATATTTTATTTGGGTCAAATATTTTAATATTGATAGGGTAATGATAAATGTAT